AAGGTAAAGGTAAAGGTACCCCTGCCTGTACGGGCCAGCCGTGTCCGACTCTAGGGTTGCGTGTGTTGGAAAACATGCCCCCTCGGGAGAGGCTGGCCCCTCTCCCCGGTTCCCGGGGCTTGTTTGCCGGTGAATTACCCTGGCTGGCATCCCCGCAAGTCCAGGGAGATCTTGATAGGCGACATCTCCCAGTGTGGAAGATGCACACCCCCTTTACTCCTTGCATACCAGCAGGAGAAAGAAGATAGTCAGAAAGTCTGTTACATTTCTACGGTTTATTTCTGACTTTACAGCTGTACAAAAAACATGTCCGTTCAGTTCAGTCTCCTCCTAGCAAGTCAGTAAGACTTCCTTCACACACGCAACAGGAAGGTCTCATATTACACACAGAACAAAGCCCTGTGAACCGCCCTGTGAATTCTTTCCCAGGACTAGCCACATCATGTGATGATGCTTGTTGATGATGCACATCATGTGATGATCATGTGATGATGATCATCGAGCTGCTTGTTTGCAGCTGCGTTGTACTCATATCGTAACAGTGTGCTCATCTCACTTAAGAGGCCGGGAGCCGGCGCCATCCGAAGACACTTCCGGGTCACGTGGCCAGTGTGACGAAGCTGCAGCTAGTGAGCCAGCACCAGCGCCGCACACAGAAACACCGTTACCTTCCCGCTATAAAGCGGTACCTATTTATCTACTTGCACTTAAGGGTGCTTTCGAACTGCTAGGTGGGCAGGAGCTGGGACCGAATGACGGGAGCTCACCCCGCCGCGGGGATTCGAACCGCTGACCTTACAATCAGCAAGTCCTAGGCACTGAGGTTTTCCCCACAGCGCCACCCGCGTCCCCCAAAATCCTAGTAGAATATATTAAAACAAATTAAAATTTATACAAACTTTCTAGATACCTGCATAGAATTAGACTTGTCTAAATAAGAATGTCTTCAGCAGGTGCTAAAAAGCATACAGTCAAGGTGCCTTGGAATCTGGCTAGTCGCCTTGCAGTTTCCTGCTTTGACCAAAGCAAAGTGGTTGTGTCCAGGCTCCGTTCCTGCCTGGCGTTCCTCAGGTCAACAGTTCAAGACTCACACAGACTTGTGTCCTGACAATGCCGACATATATTTCGTTAGTCAAATGTTTGTGTACAGGCTAAGAATACCTTGTATAGCGTGCAGCTGGCACAGTTTACAAAGACCCATAATCTTGAAAACATCACAGATTGTAAGTTTACTTTCTTTCAGTTGTGTTGCTGGAATTCCTGTTGAACAATAGGCTGGCCGCAGCCTCTAATGTCAATGGTCTCTTCCTTCCTACTTCCTGTAGTTACAGAGAGTTCAGAGTCATCCCAGTGCACGTCCGGTGAAAGCTCAGGTGGTTTCAGCTGTTCTGCCCAGGCTGGATTCTCCCCACTCCTCGCGGAGACATTTCTTGATGAAGGCACTTCAAGCCCTGGTTCCAAGCCCGCATCGCAATGCACATCTCCTGTCCTCTCAGAGAAGAACCTCAGATCAAAGCCCAGCAGCCAGTATGTCCCTGCTGTGAGTGTTTTCCTTCATTAGGTGTAAATACATAGAAATGAGAGTGAGGATGTTTTACTAGCATCACTCAGTTGCTACTCATGGCATTAAGGGTAGGAGATAGTCCTTACCTTTCCAACTTCATTGGTGCTGGAGGGCTCACCAGGTTCAAATGAAAATCCCACACTATGGCTCAATCAAGACATCACATCTCTCACCATGGTTTGAGCTTCTGAACATATAATAAGCAAACCAGCACTTAGAGCAGTTTGTCCAATTTAGTTTTCCATCTGCTGAATGCTCCTTTTTCTGTACTTCAGGGATTGCTGAACTAGACGCAGGGATGTCCAACCAGTAGATTGTGCTCTACCGGTAGATCCCTGGCTGATCCAAATAGATTGTGGGGTCCTTATTGTGTACGAAAACAATCCCCCTCTCTCTCCATCCTCAAAAAATTGCTTTTGGGAGATTCTCTTGCAGCATTATGTCCAGATATTATATTGAGTGGCTGTATGCTCTATGTTACTATATGCCACATAGGGTCCTCCCCCCATATAGCGTAATAGTAATGTGTTGGTGTTTATGTTTTGTTATGAAAATCATAACCCATGGGGAAGAGGGCACAATCCACATGAAATTATACTGCTTTTGCAACCCACCTTAGATCAGGCTGTGACCTGGTACATCGTGGCCCATCAGTTGAAGACCAGAGCCCTAGTGTGCTGACATTGTGTGCACTTGGAAACTGAGACATAGCAGATGGCAGATTGCCTTGTACTGGAGGTCCTCAGCAGAGCAATTCCATCATGCATGCCTCTTCCGTAGTCAGTCCCACTACGATCAGTGAGACTTTCCCCTTGGAAATAGCGCATAGGTCTGCCGCCTCAGTGCCCCCGTCTCATTCATCCACACAGCGGAGTTAATGATGGGCGATGTTATTAACCAGGCCTCTTCTGCAGAGAAGAAACAGCGTGACAAAGACCTTGGCTAAATAGGAATAGATTTCACAGATCCAATACATAATCCATGTGTCCAACAAGAAGTCTTCACAGAACTCTACATTTTAACAGATGGTACATCAGTCATACTGAGCCCCACCCCGACCCTTGTGCTCATGCATGGAGAGCAGGGGGTGAAGTCTTTGCAGACATAAATGGGTCTTGGGGCCAAGCAGACATGCTACTGGCATCCAAATCCATGTGTGCAATTCTACACCACAAACAGGTTCAGTTGGGCCTATTGTTTAGACAATTAGGATTAAAAAGATTTTACAAAGTGTTAATCCAGATATTGCAGATTATTCCAAATTAATTTCATCTGAGCAATCGCATACGATTTATTGCAGCCAAACTTTTAGAAACAATTTTTTTTCTTTTCACTGCTTCTGAATAATAGTAACTTTTGTCATTTTCCAGGATGATTTGGTGCAGAATCCATAATACAAATTTCTAAAACTTGAACCTCGCAGAACCTGCAGCTCTGAGTCCAGGTGGCATTCTTCGGAGGGGGAAAAATGTATCCTTGTTTGTATTTGGAAGTTTGGTTTTGATTCCCCTCCTTTACTTTTGACCTCTTTTTTGTATATAACTGGTGAGATTTAGTTGTTACTATATTTTTCGAAATCCTGTAAATGCAGAAAGTATTTTGTGTAAAAAATGTACAAATTGTGGCTGGATTTGTTTGTAAATATTAATTTTATTGTTCTGCATTATTAATTGCTCGTTTTCATGGCAGACTCTTAAAAACTTTTAGTAGCATACAGTCCAGGTTTTAAAGCAAGTGTGGTTAGAATATTGAAATATTTCTGATAGTAAGAATAGAAATAAGCTTCTGTAGCTCTTTACGGTAGAGATTCTCAGACATTTTCAGTGCAAATTCCAGACTGAGAAAAGAAGTTTAACAAGTCCAATAGCACAAGTTTTCTAACTGTCCAAACACCTTCAGCCTAGATGGATATTAAGCTACAGGCAACCACAAACACATTTTGACAAAGATCAGCACTTGTGCTTTGAAAACATAGAAAAATGGGAAATACAAATTTAATTTTCACAATTTATAACAGGTGCAGAAAGCAGCTATGCTTGGTGCAGAATTTTGAAGTTTTCTAACACAAGAGTGCATAGAACTGGATGAAGATAAGTTAAAAAATTGTATGTGAGTAACAGAGTCACTGTGAAAGCACCCTCAGAATATTCAGTACAGTACAAACTTACTTTGTCCCCTCTGGGGCCAACTTCACACTGAGGAGAGAAGGCTTCCGCAAGTTTGCAGCAATAGCTAGCTGTGAAAGGTGCCAGTTGACCAGTGTGTTTAAAGTTAAAATATCCCTTTCTCAACCCCTGAAGCAGTTTTGGACTATGCTGAGAATGTTTCCATCTTTCAATAAGGTGAATGAATAAATGGATAAAAATTCACACGGCACTTAGCAAACACACACACACATTGTTACACACCTCCCTAATCTCCAAGTGGTGCAAGATTCCAGGGGTCAAGGCGCTTACCCAGAGTTTGTATTTCCTTTGGAAATGAGGCACAGCGGAGACTGTGGTGTCTTTAGGATATTGGGTTTCATTGACACATATATTCAGCCTGAGCCCAGGATGAAGGGGTTCCATTTAACAGACTGACACACACACCCCGATCACACCACAGCCAACTGAAAACCTAAAACTTCCTCCTAAAAAAACCACCGGCATTGTCTTCCAACTAACAATCTCGCGGCGGGACTCCACCCACCTCTTGTATTGCTGATGGCCCAGCTCCCTGTCGTCTTTGTTCTCTGTTAAAGGCCCATCTCTCAAGTGATCTCCTCAACAGGGGAAGCTGAGTCCAGCCTTTAAGTGACTTCCAGTTTAACTCTTCAAACATTGAGTGATTTCTAACACACACTAAAACTAGGAAGCATGGGTGCCTTGATCACACAAACTCTGACACCCGAACGCATCACACTGCTCGCTCCACTTGCCAATCCCCACCCATCTTGCACTCCTCTCCCCGCCCCTGGCCATCCCCACCCTTTGCACTTGACCATACCCCTCGCCCACTCTGCCTCCCACTCCTCGCTCACTCAGCTGCCCAGCTCAACCCAAACACCTGCTCCCTTCCCTCACAGCTAATCTAAAGTTTAACAGAAGGATGGGCACTTTAGAAAGCAGTTTGCCAGACCAATATCTGAAGTGCTTCCCACCCTTCTTTAAACATTGCTCCAGTCACATTTAATGGAGGAATATCTTAGGCTGTGGTGTGCCAAACCCACTCTCTAAAGCCCCCCCCCAACAAATGTCACTAGAGTTTCTTCCTTGGCAGCCCACCTGGGTTGCCTGCCTGCTATTCTGTTGTCACACTGCAGTTGGCATGGCTGCCTGGTTGCCAGGCAAATTGCATCATGATGACAATTTTTCTTACAGAACTATAGTATAGAGCAGGGGTTCCCAATTAGGGGTCCGGGGACCTGTGAGGGTCTGCAGAACGCACTCAGGGGGTCCATGGCACCATCCCTTGCCTCCCCCCAAATATTTTGTCATTTTTGCATGGTAATATCAAAAATTTTATGGTCTGATTTAGCACTATGCGACTTTTCAATATCTTGTCCAAAATCATTTTTGAAATCACACCGTGAGAATGATTTTGACCCAGCAGTATACAGTGTTATATCACTCCTTGCATGAGAATAACACTGCTGATCTGAGCTGCCGTCCCTCACACTAACGGAGACCAGGGCAGCTGATCGCCCTCACTTCAAGGCCCTGTGGCACTACCTTCCCATGGCATTGAGGCAGAGCAGCTTTTCTTAATCAGCAGGAAAGCAACAACAGCCACCGTGGATGTGCATCTTCGCTGGCTGCCCCACTGGTGAAGGCTCCCCCCCCCCCAGCCCCAGCCCCTCCCACTCAAGCCATGCAGTGGAGGTGACTCCACTTCCTCCCCTCTCCCCCCCACATCCAATCTCTGTGACTGGTCCTTCCCTCATCCCCACACCTGATCTCCAACTTCAGACATTGCTATAAATCAGGATATTACGATGTTTAGCTGCTGATGTATCATGATGTTGAAAACAAGATATCGCTCAGCCCTAGTCTGTTTTTTAGCATACCTAAAATCCTTTGCTTATTGGGGCTACCCCACATGTTGTTCAAAAATTGCTTTGCAGAGGCAGCTACCATAGAGTAATCAAAATTTTCAAAAGTAGGGGGTCTGTGGCCTGGCTTTTTAAAAATAGGGGGTCCTCAGTAATTAGCTAATTGGGAACCGCTGGTATAGAGAGAAAGGTGAGGGGAAGAGCAAGACTAAAGGCTGACCCAGCGTATGATCCAAAAGAAATATACATCTCACCACTTACAAACCCAGGAAGACTCTCCAGTGACTCCGCTTTATACCGTATATTTCATGTGTCTTCACTCTTTCATTTGAGGTGGTCTTCCTGCACTGACCAAGTTACTTGCTCCGCTATATGAAGGGAGCAGAATTTCAGAGCTGAGCCTCCCATGGCTTGTTCATTAAAAATATATATATATAAGTTTTCAGCTATACACTCATATCATTTTCCATTCACCCATGGCTTGTTCAGCACAGCTTGACCACGTTGCTCTGGCCTTCAGGAGTGTGGTCATCTGTTTCCCTGCCCCATCAGAGGGCACACAAACTGCGTTTGAAGGACTTGAACCTCCCCTGGAGAGTGTCTGCCCCCCTTAGACCCCTTTAGGGAACACCCACATACTTTGAGAACAGAATTTATGTCAAACTAAATAAAAAAGTATACGTGTTGTTCATATGCTCTTCAAGTAGTTTTATTTTTGTTAGTCAAACATTGCCATGTATGATATATTTTAAAAGATGGAAGAATAAATAAAACATTTGTATTATCCTTTACTGATTTAGTACATGATCCTTTTTTCTTTTCTTTTTTAAACAACATTTCTGTGTCACTAATTCATAAAATTTGCACCTTGTGTGGAAGGATGTTTTTTAAATAGGCAAATTCAAGGATATCTCAGGGGCACCTCTGGGTAGGGTTGCCATATGCCTGGAATTTCCCAGACATAGCTGGAATTTGACTGTTGGAAACTGTCTGGGTGGAAATCCCTGAATTGTCCAGGAAAATCTGGAGGTATGGCAGCCCATGCTGGTAGTGTAAGTTTCGGTGAATTTCCTTTAAAATAGTAGCTTGAAACCCCCCACCCCTCTTTTGAGAACAGCAGCTCCAGAGACGGAGCAAGGAAAGCTCAGCAACTTTGGGCAGAACTTTAAAAAAGCTCAACAAAAAAACTTTTGTCTGGCAACCCTACCTCTGGGGACCTTCAGTATAATAACTGCTGAGATGGAGATGGGGGGGATGTTTCCTTCATTCCTTACTTGCGGGTTTCTCTGGAACTGTGGCTGGCTTTCAGTCAAGGAATGCCAGACTTTTCATAATTTACTCAATAATAGGGAGTCTCAAGAATCATTCTTCAAATATCAAGGGTCTTGGAAAATAGGTATATAGGAGAAGGGTTTTACACAGGATAAAGCAAGCAGGCCCATATTTTTTTATCTTTATGCATCATACAAATAAGGATGAAAAATTGTTGAAACAGTAAACAGCAAGTGGTACATCTAAGTCACGAATAGTAGCTATTAATCCACAAAAGCTGTCCAATTTTTGTTTTGTTTTTTAAATTCTAAACAATTCAGAGGAAAGTTTGTTTTTATTACAGGCACATTGGAAAAGAAGATAATCATTTTGGGATCACTACAGTCCTAATATTGGGTGTTGGCAACTGGGCAAGGGGGGTAGCACATACACACTGAATATAATCCTAAGATTCCATTTTTTTTGGAAATAGTAACTTTCCAGCTTTTGCAGAACCCGCAATACAAGGAATAATGTGCAGGTTCTCTCTCCACTTTTATATTGTCACCTTGTGAATCACAAACCAGCCCTGCAGTCTCTCCTAGAATGCCCATTATGGGCCACCCTTTATTTTGAAAGCACGTCAAAGTGCAAGTAGATAAATAGGTACTGCTCCGGCGGGAAGGTAAACGGCGTTTCCGTGCTCTGCTCTGGTTCGCCAGAAGCGGCTTAGTCATGCTGACCACATGACCCGGAAGCTGTACGTTGGCTCCCTTGGCCAGTAAAGTGAGACGAGCGCCACAACCCCAGAGTCGATCACGACTGGACCTAATGGTCAGGGGTCCCTTTATCTTTACAGACAGAGGGACCTGCATATAGAAGCAAAGCCATTTAAAGGCGCATGAGCACCACTGGAATCCTCACTAAGTTGTCAACAGATTCAGTAAATGCTGCATTGTGCTTCCAATCTGATAGTTGCCCTGAAAGCAAACTGAACCATTACAAGCTTTGAAAACTTGATTTTGCAATCCTCCCATAAATCTAAAGTAGGGGTGGGGATGGCCAGGTCCTTACCTCCCCCATCCCCCCAAGGGCTGCCGACCTGGTGTCATCATGATGTGACTACTTCAAAGGGACTCACTTTCAGCACCAATCACATTCGTAAGGCTTAGTGTCAGAAACCTATAATATGTGATTGGCAGAGATGTACAGGGAGCCATATGTAATGAAAAAAGATCTGGAAAAAGATCTGGGGGAAAAGATCTGGAGATACCCCCACCCCTGCAGTACAGTCCCAATCTGGATGAGGCCACCTGTATGCAATTTGTATTGCAAAAAAGCCATCCATTATGGAGCTGTCATTGTTATTTTTAATACAGTATTGTGTAATAATTGTGTTTTAATATTAATGTTAATTGTTGTAACCCACCCTGGGACCTTGTGGTGAATGACAGGTAATGAAATGAATTAAAGTAATCATCATCATCATCATCATCATCATCATCAACCTTTGCAAACCTAGAATCATAGAATCATAGAATCATAGAATCATAGAGTTGGAAGAGACCACAAGGGCCATCGAGTCCAACCCCCTGCCAAGCAGGAAACACCATCAGAGCACTCCTGACATATGGTTGTCAAGCCTCTGCTTAAAGACCTCCAAAGAAGGAGACTCCACCACACTCCTTGGCAGCAAATTCCACTGTCGAACAGCTCTTACTGTCAGGAAGTTCTTCCTAATGTTTAGGTGGAATCTTCTTTCTTGTAGTTTGGATCCATTGCTCCGTGTCCGCTTCTCTGGAGCAGCAGAAAACAACCTTTCTCCCTCCTCTATGTGACATCCTTTTATATATTGGAACATGGCTATCATATCACCCCTTAACCTCCTCTTCTCCAGGCTAAACATGCCCAGCTCCCTTAGCCGTTCCTCATAAGGCATCGTTTCCAGGCCTTTGACCATTTTGGTTGCCCTCCTCTGGACACGTTCCAGTTTGTCAGTGTCCTTCTTGAACTGTGGTGCCCAGAACTGGACACAGTACTCCAGGTGAGGTCTGACCAGAGCAGAATACAGTGGCACTATTACTTCCCTTGATCTAGATGCTATACTCCTATTGATGCAGCCCAGAATTGCATTGGCTTTTTAGCTGCCGCGTCACACTGTTGGCTCATGTCAAGTTTGTGGTCAACCAAGACTCCTAGATCCTTTTCACATGTACTGCTCTCAAGCCAGGTGTCCCCCATCTTGTATTTGTGCCTCTCATTTTTTTTGCCCAAGTGCAATACTTTACATTTCTCCCTTATAAAATTCATCTTGTTTGTTTTGGCCCAGTTCTCTAATCTGTCAAGGTCGTTTTGAAGTGTCATCCTGTCCTCTGGGGTGTTAGCCACCCCTCCCAATTTGGTGTCATCTGCAAATTTGATCAGGATGCCCTTGAGTCCATCATCCAAGTCGTTGATAAAGATGTTGAATAAGACCGGGCCCAAGACAGAACCCTGTGGCACCCCACTAGTCACTCTTCTCCAGGATGAAGAGGAACCATTGATGAGCACCCTTTGGGTTCGGTCAGTCAGCCAGTTACAAATCCACTGAGTGGTAGCATAGTCAAGACCACATTTTACCAGCTTCTTTACAAGAATATCATGAGGCACCTTGTCAAATGCCTTGCTGAAATCAAGGTAGGCTACATCCACTGCGTTCCCTTCATCTACCAGGCTTGTAATTCTGTCAAAAAACGAGATCAGGTTAGTCTGACATGACTTATTTTTCAGAAATCCATGCTGACTATTGGTGATCACAGCATTCCTTTCTAGGTGCTCACAGACTGTTTGCTTAATGATCTGCTCCAGAATCTTCCCTGGTATTGATGTCAGACTGACTGGGCGGTAATTATTTGGGTCCTCTCTTTTCCCCTTTTTGAAAATAGGGACAACATTTGCCCTCCTCCAGTCTGCCGGGACTTCGCCTGTTCTCCAGGAATTCTCAAAGATGACTGCCAGTGGTTCTGAGATCACATCTGCCAGTTCTTTTAATACTCTTGGATGCAGTTCGTCTGGCCCTGGAGACTTGAATACATCTAAACTAGCCAAGTATTCTTGTACTATCTCCTTAGTTATTCTGGGCTGTGTTTCCTTTGCTGAATCATTTGCTCCAAATTCTTCAGGTCGGGCATTGTTTTCTTTATCGGAGAAGACTGAGGCAAAGATGGCATTGAGGAGTTCAGCTCTTTCTGTGTCCCCTGTTTGCATTTCACCATCTTCTCCTCTGAGTGACCCCACTGTTTCTTTGTTCTTCCTTTTGCTATGGACATACCCATAAACCTGTCCAGCTAGGTTGGTGAAGGCTGGACTGCTTAGAGGAAACTGAGACGTGACTTTCCAGCATCACAACCTCTGTGAGATACATTGGTGGCACCACTATCATCTGGACACAGGCAAGAGACACTTGAGCAGTTCCCTCAAAACTTCAATGACCAGTCCACCAAAGAGGTTCATTCAGCACCCTATTGTGCAAGCTTATAGCAGACCTATAAGCATCACCTTACACAGGAAACCTATTGACCAATACACATACTGCCATATTTCCAGCTTCCACCCAGAACGCACCACAAAATTCATTGTACATGGCTGCATTTGTTTAGACTCATCAAGGAAAAAATCACAACTCATGATTTTTAATCAGGCATCCCTCAGACTACCATACTCACCCTACAAAACGAAAACAAACAAATAGATCAACAAGGTGAATTATGTACCACAGGGCAGACCTAGAAAACAAACATCAGTTGTTACCACTTATCATTTGCAACTGAACACACTGGATCATATCAATGAACTTCAGACTACATTCTGTTCTGTGGTCCTTGAGGTATGACAATACTCTTTTGTTTAGAGTGCAACAGACTAACACAGCTATACCTTTGTCAATTAATAAAAGTTGGACAATTAAAAAGAGGTGTCAAATAAGTGTCTGATACCAAAATAGTAACCAGGTCAGCAGATGACTGCTCCTCTTACCTTCCAAATACATGTCACGTACGCCCCTCAGCAGCAGCTGCAGCTAAAAATAGAGAATGACAAGCAAGAGAGAACCTCTGTTAGAGCAGATCCAGTATAACAGAAGGAATCAAAAGACAGCAATGCACTCTCTACGGTTCCTGAGTGCTGGGGCTTTGGTCTCCAACACAGAGCTGATAAAAGGAAATCTTGGCAGTGTTGCACACAACCTTTTCCCTCTTCTTTTTAAGGCAAGTTACTTACAGGAACAAGGGGAAGTTCTTCACGATTTGGTGGCAAACTGGCCACTGAAGGAACTTAACATTGGAAAACTGTTGGGGAAGACAATAGACCACCAGGAAGACATCAGTAGCAGAGTCTGCTCCGTGTGCTTGACCAGCTGCCTAACTGGCCTCCGAGACTATGTGCTGAATTGTTCATCTCCATATGCAAAGAGACTCAAAGTGGTGGACTTAACAGGCCTAAAGGATGTTGAAGTTCAGCTCTGCAACTGTAGGAAAACAATGGGACGCTGGGCCAGGACAGAGCTGCTGTCGAAGATCTGCTATGATCTGCTTGTTGAAATGCAAAGGCTGAAGTTCAATCCAGATGTGTTTGAGATTTCGGTTGATGTTCTTACTGATGTCTTTGTTACTGAACGAAATTATGAGCTGCTTGTCCAGGCCTTGCTTATGAGGTGCCATTGCCCACTAAAAATTCGCTGTGCTTCCTTCCGAGTGGACAACCTAGCCCTGCGGAAGCTTTTCTACATCATAAAGCTTACAGATCCCTCTTCGCTGCTCAAATTCGAAATAGTCCACAATGTTCGGCTGGAAATGGAACATTTGCACATGCTCCTTAATAACGTCCACTTTCCTCAGCTGACGTCGCTCACACTCCCAGCTAGGACGTTCGATGTACGAAGGTTCACCCCAGAGGATGAGGCCATTCTTGTAGGAATTGGAGAAAAGTTAAGCCAGATGACTCAACTGACTGAGCTGAGCCTAGCATTTTCCACACTCACGGGAAGGATACGTAAACTACTCAGGTAATGTGCTCCAGATCTTGCTGGTGACGCAGTTGAGACAATATTTATGACTAATATGTAACGTATTAAAAAAGGAAAGCATATGAAGCTTTCTTTTATTGTCATGCTGATGCTTATCTGATTTAGCATTGTCTACTCTGTCTAGCAGTAAGTCCCAAAGGAAAGACTTTTTACAGTCCTGCTTACCTGTATCCCATCTAACTGGAGATTCAGGAATTGAACCTGAGATCATCTGGAGTCCTCCATGATGTATTTTTTGCTGCAAAATAAATATTTGCAAACGTGGATGCCAGTGCCATTCTTTTTTTTTTTTAAAGATATTTATTAAAGTTTCGACATATTACAAAAATAAGAGAAAAAAGTAAAAAAAACAAAAACAAAAAAATGAAAACGAAAATACAAAGTAAAAACAGTTAAAAACAAATCAGTCTTTCCATATCTTATCTTTCATTTGCTTGTTTCCCTGACCTCCTCACACCTCCCTTTTTTGTATTCCAGTTCAATTAGTTAATTCAGCAATTCCTTTCCCTCTTTGGTTTTATCTTAATCTTCCATCTTAATATATTATAACTTTAAATTATCACCTATTAACAATCCATTTTTACATATTCCTTTATAACATTGCTACTGAAAACCACTTAACTTCAATCCAACATCATTCTAACATTCATTAATTTTGCAGTGTTTCTGTAAATAGTTTTTAAATTTCTTCCAATCTTCTTCCACCGACTCTTCTCCCTGGTCTCGGATTCTGCCAGTCATTTCCGCCAGTTCCATATAGTCCATCACCTTCATCTGCCATTCTTCCAGAGTGGGTAAATCTTGTGCCTTCCAATGTTTTGCTATAAGTATTCTTGCTGCTGTTGTGGCATACATAAAGAAAGTTCTATCCTTCTTTAACACCAATTGGCCAACCATGCCCAGGAGAAAGGCCTCTGGTTTCTTCAGAAAGGTATATTTAAATACCTTTTTCATTTCATTATAGATCATCTCCCAGAAAGCCTTAATCCTTGGGCATGTCCACCAAAGGTGAAAGAATGTACCTTCAGTTTCTTTACATTTCCAACATTTATTATCGGGCAAATGATAGATTTTTGCAAGCTTGACTGGTGTCATGTACCACCTGTATATCATTTTCATAATATTCTCTCTTAAGGCATTACATGCCGTAAACTTCATACCTGTGGTCCATAACTGTTCCCAGTCAGCCATCATTATGTTATGTCCAACATCTTGTGCCCATTTAATCATAGCAGATTTCACCGTTTCATCCTGAGTATTCCATTTCAACAGCAAGTTATACATCTTTGACAAAATCTTGGTTTTGGGTTCTAACAGTTCTGTTTCCAATTTTGATTTTTCCACCTGGAAGCCAATTTTCTTGTCCAAATTATATGCCTCCATTATCTGATAATAATGAAGCCAATCTCGCACTTTATTTTTTAGTTTTTCAAAACTCTGCAATTTCAATCTGTCTCCCTCTTGTTCCAAAATTTCCCAATATTTCGGCCATTTGGCCTCCATATTGAGCTTTTTCTGAGCATTTCGCTTCCATCGCTGACAACCACCTTGGGGTTTTATTTTCAAGTAGATCCTTATATCTTATCCAGACATTAAACAATGCTTTCCTGACAATATGATTTTTAAATGCTTTATGTGCTTTGACCTTATCATACCACAAATACGCATCCAAATAAGTTGTTAAAGCCTTCTAAATCCAAAATGTCTGTGTTTTCAAGAAGCAGCCATTCTTTCAGCCAGCAAAAAGCTGCTGATTCATAATAAAGTTTAAGGTCTGGCAGGGCAAATCCACCTCTTTCCTTTGCATCCGTTAGTATTTTAAATTTTATTCTAGGCTTCTTGCCCTGCCAGACAAATCTAGAAATATCTCTCTGCCACTTCTTGAAACAATCCATTTTATCCAAAATTTGCAATGTTTGAAACAAAAACAACATTCTAGGCAATACATTCATTTTTATCGCAGCAATACGGCCTAGCAGTGAAAGCTTCAAATTTGACCAGATTTCTAAATCTTTTTTCACTTCAGTCCAGCATTTTTCATAATTGTCTTTAAATAGATTCCCATTTTTAGCTGTCATGTTAATCCCCAGGTATTTCACTTTCTTAACCACTGTTAAACCTGTCTCATTCTGAAACCTCTCTCTCTCAATCACTGTTAAATTTTTCTCTAAGATCTTTATTTTTAGCTTATTCAGTTTAAATCCTGCAACCTGACCAAATTCTTGAATCAGTTCCAAAACTCTTTTGGTACTAGATTCTGGCTCCTGTAATGTCAATACTAAGTCATCTGCAAATGCTCTCAATTTGTACTGTTTAGCTCCGACTTGTATACCTTTAACCAATTGATCCCTTCTAATCATATTCAGCAGGACCTCCAGGACCGATATAAAAAGCAATGGGGAGATTGGGCAACCTTGTCGTGTCCCTTTTTCTATCTTAAATTCCTCCGTCACCACGTTATTAACAATTAATTTAGCCTTTTGTTCTGAATAAATTGCACTTATACCGTTTCCAAAGCCTTGACCTACCCCCATCCCCTGTAGATTCTTCTTCATAAAACTCCAAGAAATGTTGTCAAAAGCTTTCTCCGCGTCCACAAATATCAAAACTGCCTTGGTATTAATATTCACTTGTAATTTTTCTAAAATATTGATTATGTTTCTCATATTATCAGACAAGTGTCTACCCGGGAGAAAGCCTGCTTGATCTTTATGAATCTCTTCCACTAACAGTTTTTTTGTCTTTTAGCCAAAATGTCTGCAAAGATTTTATAATCCACATTAAGCAGTGATATGGGGCGGTAGTTCTTAAGCTGCGTCTTTTCAGTCTCTGTTTTCGGTATAAGTGTGATATACGCTTCCTTCCACGACTCTGGTGCCCTTTTCCCATCCATTATTTCATTACAGACTTCCTTTAAAGGTTGTACTAACCATTCTCTTAAAGATCTGTAGTATCTAGAAGTCAGTCCATCCGGTCCTGGAGATTTACCTAATTGCATATTCTGAATGGCACCTTCTACCTCCTGTTCAGTTATTTTATAGTTCAGCATTAATTTATTTTCTTGAGAGATTTTTGTAATCCATTTATTTTCAAAAATCGGTCTACATCAATTTCTTTCTGTGGCCCTTGTGTATATAGTTGTTTAAAATACCTCTGGAAACAGTTTCTAATCTCGACTGGGTTCTGTATGTTCTTTCCTTCCACTTCTAAATTTAAAATGGTGTTTAGTTTTTGTCTTTTTTTCATTTGCCGGGCCAACAATTTCCCACATTTATTAGCCGACTCAAATGTCTTTTGTCTCATTTGTTTAATTTTCCATTCTATCTCCTGATTCATCATTTTCATGTATTGTATTTTGATATAACTTTATTTCTCTCAAGATCTCTTGCGACTTTGGTTTTGCTCTCAATTTCTTTTCACTTTCCTTTATTTTCTCCAAAATTTTATCCTTCTTCTCATTTTGAATTCTCTTCTTTATTGCATTCTGTTGTATCAAGAACCCTCTCATAACCGCTTTGCTTGCGTCCCAGATTACTCTTTTTTCAACATTAGTGTTCATATTTATCTCAAAATAGTCTCTCAAGGTTTTTTTGGGCCTTCTTAGTCACTTCTTCATCTCTAAATAAGGTGTCATTCATCCTCCATCTGAAAGAGCCAGTTGGTGTTAGTCTCATCTCCATCTTCACGGCATTATCGTCGGAGCAAGTTTTGGACAAATTTCCACTTTTCTTGTCTTTGGTGCCATTCCTCTAGTTACCCATATTTGGTCAATTCTTGTCCATGTCATTTTGGCTTCAGAGAAGAAGGTTCCCTCTCTAGCCAAGGGATTCTTTGTTCTCCAGATATCAACTAAGTCCAAGTTGTCTGTCATCTCAAAAAGGTTTTCGGTAGTCTACCATCCTTAGTGACTACCTGTCTTTGTGCCTTGTCCATATTTGTAGATACCACTCCGTTCATATCTCCCATCAAAATCACATTATAGTCCAAATAGTCCATCAAGGTCTCATGCAACTTTTTAAAGAATTCAGATTTCCCCTCATTTGGTGCATAAACTCCTACTATTAAAAATTTCTCTCCTTGTATTTGAATTTCAATTGCCACAAATCTTCCTTGGTCATCTTTAAAGATAAATTTCGGTGATAATCTCTCCTTTGCATAAATCACTACTCCTCTTTTTTTAACTTTGTCTGATGAGATAAACTCCTGACCCAGTCTTTTGTTAATCAGTACTTTTCTATGTAGCCTTATCACATGTGTTTCCTGTAGACAAATCAAGTCCAATTGTTCCTTTTTAATAAATGAAAAACTCTTTTCCTTTTCTGGGGGGAGTTGAGACCATTAGTATTCCAGCTTAATAGTTGCAGAGCCATGATGTAGTTACTTTACTTTTCCTCCAACTGAGCCAAGTGCCTGTTCCTGCTCTGTCGGTGGTATCACCTTCTCTGGGCAGTCCAATCCAAAAGGTAGTTTTGCTATGTCTAATATTCCTCTTTCTAGTGCTCTTAGCTCTTCTCCAAATTCTTTCTGCAGGTCTTCTCCGTGGTCTTTCAAAAATCTTTCTTTGTCGTCCACTGATCTTATTTTTATCTTTCTTCCTTTGAAGCTGAAAGATAGGCCTTGGGGAAATTCCCAAAGATAATTCTGTTGCTTCTCAACAGGGCAACCAAATCTCCATAATTGGACCTAAGGTCCAAAAGATATTTCGGAATGTCTTTAAATATCTCCACTTTTGACTGATGTATTTCCAAAGTCTTCTGAAAGTGCAGACTCAAGATTTTGTCTCTCTCCTCTTTTGTTTGGAGGGTGATCAAACAGTCTCTCACCCTGTTCTTCTTCCCTCCTCTTCCAAGCCTGAAAGCACTCACTATCTTAAAATCTTCCTTCTCCAAATCTAGGTCCCAAAAGTCTGCAAATTCCTGCATAAGAAAGTCAGTCAGATTGTCTTTCTCAAGTTCAGGTACAGCCCTGATCCTCAAATTCGTTTGTTTCTCCTTCCGTTCAATCATAGACAATATCGACCTGTGGTCCTCAAATTGCCTATGTATCGGTGGTATCTTCTCTTCTACAGCAACTGCTATTTCCTTTGCTTCTTCAGCTGTCTTGCGGGTCAAAGTAGATCCTGTAGCAGTTTCTCAATAGTTTCTGTATTTGTGTTCACCTTCTGTCCCAGATTATTAATGCTTGTAGTATTTTGATCAATTTTAATTGATGCTTCAGCTACTTCCGGGGTGGCGCCATCGGTAATGGCGGACTCCCTCTGATCCGGAGGGACTGGCTCTACAGAAATCGGGTCTGTTCTGCTACGGCGAAGCGGGGACCCTTTAGAAAATCACACGTGGGTGAAGCCTGTGACCGTGGGACTCGGCGGGCACCTTTCGCGCCCCCCCCAATTTGTAAAGGAACCCAATTACGGGCTCCGGAGCGAAGCGGGGCAAGCGGTGCGGTGCTGAGAGTCAACTGCTTCTTCCGTGGAGCGAAGCCGCACAGCCGTTACCGGAGAGTGCTGCCTTTTTCCTGTGACAATCTGGCTACAAAAACAACTACCCGTGAGTAGGTTAAATTTGGAAATAAAGGAGAACAAAGACTTAATTTGGCACCGGAGCGGGGAGGCACAAACAGGAAGTCCGCCTTCCGTTCTTTGTAAATAGAGTAAAGCAAAGAAGTTGTAAACTAAAACCTTGAAAGTCGTTTGAAAAAGACTATAATCCTAACATCAAAACAAGTGATTTCCCCCCTTGGCTGCAGGAGAGGAGGGGGGAAAGATATGAACTATATTTTCCTGCAAAAAGAGAGGAAAGGAAGCTAAAATCCACCGCTTAAAACCTGGGAACGGGCTGCCAATGGACAATAAGAATGCCGTACTGTGAAATGCACTGCTGGTGAATAGAGTACTTTTTGACAGCTAACTCTGCAAGAGAGATACAATGTTTCTGGTTGGCTTCTCCTGGTCTTAAAGTAACTGGAAACTAACTGAAATTGAAAATGTTGTACATTTTGTGAATTGGGGGATTAAAAAAGGTTTTTTGTTTTTTTTAATGCAACAAGTTTTGACTGCTACTGTGTCCCCCTAGAGGAAGTTTGAAATTGTTACAACAACAACTGGGCCAGGGGAATTTTCCACTTCAAAACAAATTCTGGCCGTGGGACTGACCTTGAGCTTTAACTAGAGTGTTATGGCAGATGGAAAAGAAAAGATAGATTTGCTTCAAGAAAAAACAACGAGGTCTGGCAGATCTTTTCGCACAGACACTGGGCTGCAGTGAAGAGCATCAGCATCTGGCCCCTCTGTATCATCAGGGGCTGCATCTGTACAACCTAAACCCAAAGGAATGGCATCTGAAGATGTTTTAGCTCTGGCACTAGGCAAAATTAATGAATCTTTGGAAAACTAAGCCAGTGCCATTCTTGGTGGCTTTAGGCTCTAGCATTATTTTTAAATTTGTTTAAAAGATTTTTAACCGACCTTTCAGGGCACACTGCCCTCACATTTTCTGGCAGCAAATTGCTCTGAGCAGAGGCATGCCCTAGCCACCCCCCCCCAAAAAAAATAAGAAAACCACTTGAAGAATAATACTAGCAAAAAAAACCCCACCTTGCTCTTTGTACAGCAGTTGCATTATACGCCTCATGGGAGTGGCAGGAATCACAACAGCACACACACTTTAGTGGGATGAAAGAAGCTTTCATTGTCTTTTGAGACAGAGGGATGCCCAAAGCAACAATAAGCAGGGTTGGCAAGGGAAGTGGCACAAGGACTAGACCCTATTCCACTCAACCCTTGCTGTTGGAAAGTTATTTCAATTGTCTGGGGAGCACCCAATGCAGCCACACACCCCTGGGAGTTGAACAATGTTATATCTTAATGTGGTGCGAGCCAAGCACCAGGGATCCCACTAGGCAACTGGGGGTGGGGGTGGGGAGAACTGGCACAAGGCTGGGGCCCTTCTAAGCTAGGGGTGTGGCTTGTGCATTGCCTGCCCCACCCCCTACTGCTGCCATTTTGCTCAAAGTAGTGATACAATTACAGACACCTAATGGAGAACAAAGGGCGGGTGGCACTGTGGTCTAAACCACTGCGCCTTGGGCTTGCTGATTGGAAGGTCGGTGGTTTGAATCCCCATGACGGGGTGAGCTCCTGTTGCTCGGTTCCTGCTCCTGCCAACCTAGCAGTTCGAAAGCACATCAAAGTGCAAGTAGGTACCACTCCGGCGGGAAGGTAAACGGCGTTTCCATGCGCTGCTCTGGTTCACCAGAAGCGGCTTAGTCATGCCAGTCACATGACCTGGAAAAACTGTCTCTGGACAAACGTCGGCTCCCTCGGCCAGTGAAGCAGATAAGCACCGCAACCCCAGAGTCGTTCACGACTGGGGTCCTTTACCTTTTTTTTTTTTTAATGGAGAATGACTCTGGAAATCAGGGAATGATAAGAACCTCCCAATCCAGAGCCAACTTTGGTTGAGAGTAAAATTCCTTTCCAGCCCTGACAACCAGTGACCCAAGAGTCACTGCAGGAGAAAAGAGAAGGAAGTTGGTGACCACAGCTGATGAGCAATGGAGGCTTTTAAGTTTCCAGGTGGACAGCCCACCTGAGCCCTGCATCCTGCTGTGGGATCTTGTAAGAGACCACCAGAAAGGCAGAAACCATCTCTTCTGGCCACCCAGAGCTGCCACATCACTGAACAAATGCTGCCCTGCTTGCAGGGGAACATGGAGTAGTGGCTTGTACACAAAATGTTTTGCGTTTCACATATGGAACAGTTTCAAGGGAACTTGTGCATATGTCTCCTGCCACTAAAATGTACTGTGTGTCATTTACAAAATACTTTGGATACGCAAAACACATAGTCTTTATTCATTCTCAACATCAGGGTCTCCCCTAAGGCACTTGGGCACCTGACCTGAGCCACAGTGAGGTACCTCCTCCCCTCAGCCAGG